ATAAATAAATAAATAAATATAATCTTTAAAAAAATATCTAGAGAAATGAATTCCACTTAGTAATTCACACTAAGGCTCATACAGACTGGTGGCAACCCTCAACTTCCTTCATAATCAAGGCTCACTTTGTATGAAAAGACCATGGTTCCCAGTGACATGCTAGAATATTATTCTGAGGGTTTTTTAAGAGTTTAAGGTTAAGGGTTCTTTAAGGGTTAAGATGAATCTGGATCATTTTGGGTGACTTCCTAGCATAAACAACTATTGAGAGATAGAACAGATAGAATAGCTATTTCACATAGTGTAAAATATTAATAGTAGCAAGGTGCTAATTTTTTTTAAACATTTTGTTTTTAAGTAATCTGTACACCCAACATGGGGCTTGAACTCATAATCCTGAGATCAAGAGTCCCATGCTCCACCAACTGAGGCTGCCAGGCACCTGCAAGGTGCTAATTTGCATATTGTTATATACCCAAGATAGTCTTCCTTCCAGCTTTTTTTTTTTTAAAGATTTTATTTATTTATTTGAGAGAGAAAGAATGAGACAGAGAGAGCATGAGAGGGGGGAGGGTCAGAGGGAGAAGCATACTCCGCACCAAGCGGGGAGTCCGATGCGGGACTCGATCCTAGGACTCCAGGATCATGACCTGAGCTGAAGGCAGTCGCTTAACCAACTGAGCCACCCAGGCGCCCCCTCTTCCTCCTAGCTTTAACAAAGAAAATATATTTCTAGGGGTGCCTGGGGGGCTCAGCCGGTTAAGCATCTGCCTTGGGCCCAGGTCATGATCCCAGGGTCCTGGGATGGAGCCCCACATCAGGCTTCCTGCTCAGCGGAGAGCCTGCTTCTCCCTTTCCCTCTGCTGCTCCCCATGCTTGTGCACTCTCTCTCTCTCAGAGAGAGAGAGAGCCAGAGTGTGGACAGCAAAAACGGGGAGGGGCAGAGGGAGAAGCAGATTCCCCGCTCAGCAAGGAGCCCAACATGGGGTGGGGCTCAATCCCAGAACCCTGGGATCATGACCTGAACCAAAGGCAGATGCTTAACTGACTGAGCCACCCAGGCACCCCAATAAATAAAATCTTTAAAAAAAATTTTTTTAAAGGAAAAAAAAGAAAATATATTTCTAGACAGTAATTGGAGCTGGATTTAAGGTTTGTTAATTTCCTGGTGACAGATCTTATCACTAATTTTTAAAAAGTTTTTAATGAGTAATAGTTACATGGTTCAAATTGTTTTAAAAAGTATGATTATCATGGACATTAAACCCACAGACTTAGAATTTAGAAGGCTTCTTCAGGCGCCTGGGTGGCTCATTTGTTAACATCTGCCTTCGGCTTGAGTCATGATCCCAAGGTCCTGGGATCAAGTCCCACATAGGTGCATCGGGCTCCCTGCTCAGTGAGCCTGCTTCTCCCTCTCCCTCTGCCTGCCACTCTCCCTGCTTGTGCTCTCTCTCTCTGTCAAATAAATAAATAAAATCTTTAAAAAAATAAATAAAAGAAGGCTTCCTACAATTCTGCGTGCATGCAGGACATAAGGGGAGTGCTTACCAGCCTGAGTCTAGCCTGTCACACTGCAAGTCTTTAACAGGCGAGGGGGAAATACTATGACAAGCAGTTATGTCTGTGGATGAAGACTATAGTCATAAACTGGAAAACTTTTAGAGCTCTTTGTAAACAGGGTTAATGACATACCTTAATGACGGGTCACAGTATATTTCTGGGGGAAAGAACACCTAAGAATTTTACCAGCTGCTGAATCAGTAACCTCTTCTGTACTCACAGCTAGGATGAATCTGCTAGCTCGTGTTTGGTCATTACTGTACAGCGAAAGTCTACTTCAGTACATGTCCCCTATCTGCCCATTTCCCACCTTGCCCCCAGGTAGCAACTGGGTTCATTTTGTATGTGTCTTTTCAGTTGCTTTCTGCACACCCAAGAAAATTCAAATGTATATGTAGTCTTAATTTTCCCCCCTCTTTATAATAGAAAAAGTAGCAAGTTATACACAGCATGCTTTTTTAACTTTACAGTATGTCTTGGTGAGCTTTACATGGTAGCACATAAAGCATTTCCTCACTCCATTTTACCACTACAAAGAGTTCTATAATACAGATATACCACAGTTTATTTAACTAGTTTCCTCCTTGCTGGGCTTTTGGCTTATTTCCAGCTCTTTTGCCATTACAAAAACTTCAATGATGACCTGATGTTGAAACCTCGTTACACGTGTATGTAAGCTAAATCCCCAGAAGGGGAATTGTGGAGTCAAAAAATACACGTGTGTGTAGCTTTGCTATCTGTCACCCACATGGCCTTCATACTGGTCATAAACCATTCACTATATCCAGAGCTGCAGAAATTCTAGGGAGTAGATTTTCAAGGAGGAATATATAAATATAAAATATATAAATATAAAAGCAGGTTTATAGCTTGCTTCCTGAAGAGGTACAGCATGCTTTGCCAGCTCATGGGCTTCCCTTGGAAGTCCCCTGAACCTTCTGGGAAGTGTGTACTGACCCAAGCCAAACCTTGTGCAGTGGCATAGAAACCCTCCTCTTCCATTCTTTACAACAGTGCATTTCCTCCTTATTGCCAAAAGGATCCAGTGAGGATCCTCTCTCCTTCATGGCCAGGATTACTTTGCTATATGCCAAGGAAATGTCAGTGAGGGGTAATTCCTTTCTTTGCCCTGAAGGTTAGAACAGGACCAGCTAAGATACGCTCTTAGGTCTTTCAAACTCAAGCCCAAGAGGAAATGATTAGAAACTAGGACATTATTAATAATAGCCCAAGATTGCCCTCCTCTACCCCCACCTCCCAAAGACTGAGGAAATGACTTTAGCAAGAGATTCTCTGCCAAAGGTAACGTGAGTATCTGGAAAAATTTGGAACAAAGATAGGAAACAACAGAGCAAAAGAGAGAGAAAAGTAAAGAAGGGAAGAACTTAACCTGTGCACATTTATAAGGAAACCGTGGTAGAATTTTATATGCAGGGCCTGTAATCAACTCAAAAAGAAGCTAACATTTCTTAAGGATTAGGAATGTAGACCTTTCAAAGTTATACTTTCGCTCCCCAATCCTGGCTTTGGGCCAACTCAGTGTCCTGAGCAGGATCAATGGCTCTAAGTCCTCCTTGCCTACCAGTAGCTCCTAGCCTCATGCCCATTCTCTCTCAGAGCTGGAGCCAGGCCTTCTAACTCCGTCCCCAGTTGTCCTCAGGCTTCAGTTGTTCACGGCTCTCAGGAATTCCCATGGAAACCCTTCGATTTCTTTCTCTGCTTTTTCTTACCATGAGCACTCACCCTGGCCAGAAAGAAAATATGCTTTTGTAAAGTGATTCCCATGTCTTGTCACTGGGATCTAGCTACTTCCTGGATCCAGGCAACCCATGATGGGGCTAGCCAGAACAGCCAGGGAGTACTGTAGGCAAAGCCCATGTCTGCAGAGATTGTAATCAG